TTAATAAAATACTGTTTAAACTACACAAAGTTGTGAATTGGGCGAGAAACACTTCATTCTGATGGGGTGAGATAATTTGAAGCCATTTGAACACTGTTGATTAGGCCATATACCAGACAAATACTACAATAAATAAATTCTATGTTCATGCTGCGAGTTTTACTAGTTTAATAATGTTAACAAATGCCTCGGATACTTACTCTGCATTTATTTCAATTTCGTTGTCTGGTTGGCTTATGTTTGCTGTGGGACCATGTGGTTTCAGTCAGGAATCCCAGTGATCAGTGTCTAAAATAGGACTTTGTTGGAAATCCTGCTGATCAGTTTCATGTCATTAGTCAAAGTCTTCTATATGAATCCTATATGTTTTGATGTGTCTGGACCTGAGAAACCTGGAAACTGGAATTCCCTTGCCTTTACAGAGGTTGCAAATGCATCGTCGTTCCTGTTCAGCCATTTTTGTTTTTCTAACGCTATCACCAAAATGCTTAAAACCGTCGCGCCAATTCCCAAACATTTCAAATGTCTGTGTGAAACATCTGGGCACCGTAAAAAGTGGAAAAGACCGCGAAGATGAAAATGGAAGAAATATTGGGTCAATTTGAAAGAAAAACTCAACAGATCTTGAAAGGTAATTCAGTCAACTCCTATGTTATTTTTACATGAAAATAACATAGGACTTCAAGGTTTGATGATTAAAACCAATAACAACAATTATATATAGACTATTTGGTGGTTTGGGGCATGTTGAATGGTGACTGGGGAGGGGTGGTGGACACGTTTCTGTTTTGAGGAAGAGGAATTCCCAAACCTTTCTTCATATTCTGATCTAGATATCAAAATAATAACCTTTTTATTTAGAGTAACCTCTCCATTTTTCACCAGATTTACATGAAATGTTTAGCCTCCATTCAAGAATCATTTATTAGTAAAATATTTACAACATATCTTAACAGGGAGTGGGTGACTTGTCATAAGTGTATTATAAGTCACTTTAAACAACAAGTCTACATTTTGCAGTACAGGAACATAGGTATTCGATTCCTCACTTGGTGATTTTCACTATGTAATTATTTTATAATCTTTGATTATAAAAAAAATATTCATGAACGTATTTTGATGATTCTTACATTGATGGCAACATTGTTTTCACAGCCGTAGTTTCCAATAGAACATTCTAAATTCCAATCTTTGCCATTTTTAGTAATGTTATATAGAGAGTTATTATATTCCGTCTTAAAAAATATGTGTCATTAAATTGTTAATCATCAAGAATATCTCCAAAAAATATTAAAAGTGACTTCTGCAGAAACTATATCTTCAGCTCTTTCCAATAAAAACTTCACACAAATAGACCAAGTAATTAATTTGCAATTACAATTTTTAGAATTCAAATTTTACTATAAACATATAGGGAAAATAACAAAATGACCAATACTTATGTCACTTGACTGTACATAATTTCTTGACTTAATAGCTCTAGAAATCAAGATTTCAATATCTGATTATGAAGAGTAGCATATATCACAGCAGGTTTAATTTGAGTGGATAATATAAAACATTACTGCCACATCTATTAATGACATTTATGTTTTTTATTGCTCTAGTCTAATAAAATTTTGCATTAAATATGCAATCCTCTTATACATTTAAATTTTTTTAATAAGACAGTGGGCTTGACTTACCTGAATTGTACAACCTTTCTAATAATGATATAATGGATATATTAAGAGACTGTCCATTCAAGGAAAGGGCCCTATTCAGAAAGATTATTGGATCCAACTCTGCGCCATCAGTTGTGTCGCCAGGAAATATGCATATTCATTGACACCGTTTTCTTCACCAAAGCCTTTGTCAGATAATCAAAGTCCAAAGGCCTTGTAAGGTAATCAACGAAGTCCAAAGGCCTTGTAAGGTAATCAACAAAGTCCAGAGGCCTCGAAGGTAATCAACAGAGTCCAAAGGCCTCTACATCTTCAGATAATGAACAAAGTATGTTGCTGTCACAAGAAAAAGACAACTATATGACTGACACTGGTACTTGTGCTTATTTGGCTATAATTACCCCAGAAAAAAAAACAACATGTTCTAACATCAGTAAACACCATAGAAAGTTCCACACCCACCTCAAAGACTCCACGTCAGCTGCACACATCTGGCAGAAATCGCCATTAAAAAATATCCCAGCAAGGAAAAGAGATGCTTTTTTTGAGAAATTTAGAGATGTATTGCCAAAAATGAAGCATGTATCTGACTCTGTAATTTGAAGTCGATTAGGAGCATGCCTACAGGAAATACCGAAGATATAAGGTAGGAAAACAGAAAAAAAAACACAAAGAAAACAACAGGATGAGAAAAGCCCAGGAAAACAGCCTACGCCACATAAGGGAATGCATCGATATCATACAACACCTATGAGGCGAATCACACCACAAAACGTTGCAACACCATGAAGAGGAAAGCAATTTTCAGTAACGAAATGAGCAACACCACAAAACGAAAGAAGTTAGATATCCCATTCTAAACAGACTACACCACAAAAGGGCACTTTAAAAACTTCACCAATGAAAAGGAGTACACCAAGAAGACGATTACAACAAACAACACATGGGAAATGGCCCACTGATGGTCAGTCTGAAGAAACTCTACAGTGCGATAAGAAATAGAAAGACTCAAGCCCGCAAGTTCCTTGTGAGAACGAGCTTGGATCTAAAGTGTTTTTCCTAAATCATAAAAGAAAGAAAATGGAGGTAGGCAATCTGATCTCCATTAGGGATAGTATATTTAGTGAAATAGTATTGAAATCGTTGTTGGATTCTGAGGATTCTAAGACCATGAACTGTATGCGCCATTAGGCTCAAAAGAAACTGTTTCAGAACTGAAAGAAAAAGACATTTTGCTGTGGAAACTCAAGAAACTTCTCCCATATTCTGTCTCAAAAAAATCTGTCTTATGTACACAACAAGGCCTAGCCAAGACTTCAACGAAAGATTCTGATGTCCACATAAACGTATGAAATGTTTTTCAATGTCATGTCTTGCTGTACAAAATTAAAGAGCAATGATCATGTCAAATCAACTTGTTGAATGTTACCACAGATCTGTAGTAGCCATTGTTAAATTTCTCTTTACTGATTAAACAATTTGCTTAATTATGATATATATTGTTCCCATGTAGCATTGCTTAATTACCTGTAGTAAAAGACCTGATGAACTACCAGAGCTTAGCTTACCACCGACATGTGCGTGATTGGTATGTATTAATAGAATCTAACACTAGTACTGGTAAGATAAGATAGAAAAATTCTTCCAGAGGACCAAGATTTCTGACATAGAACGAGATTTGCCGAGTTCTGGATCAGACATCTTAGCATGAGCGTTGATGTTTCTCTGTCTTGCACTACCAAATACAGAGAGTAACAGTTAGTAGTGTAGTACCGGTGATAGGTTTGGAAATCATGATTTCCTATATTACAGAAACCAATTGACAAGCAGATGGTTGTGATGGAGTGGAATTGAGAGGAGATATTTGTCGGTTTCCTACTAGATGATGAAATTGGGCCTTCCAAAGTTAGGAGTTGCAAGCTGATTTAACTGACAAAAGTCTTCAGCTGTCATTGAATGCAAAAGATGTGCAGGAAAATCCTGATATGGACTTCCTAGTCTGGAAACCGAAGGAACAATTATATTCAGTCTAAGGAAAAAAGTTATACAGTATTCATATAAGAGATGCAACTGCTTTAAAAGTACAGTTGACTGTTGCCATCAAACAATATATTAATTGAAAGATTAACAATAACTTTGTTCATGTGAACTCTAAAGAATCTAAATGTGCCTTTAAAATCACCAAGTTACACACTGAATAGTGGATGCTTTTTAAAACTGCATTTCTGTGAACATTGGTGCATTTTGTTAAAACAATGTTTTTGTCGTTTTACGATTGCAATATTTGTAGTAAAGCTGTACAAGAAATGGAGTTTATACTGTTGTATGTTGATATTAACTATATCATTTTCTTCTTGCCATCAATTAGTAATACTGTTCATTTAAAAACTTGTAAGAAAAACACAAGTCAAAATATAATGTTGATAAATAATTCATCAAATATAAATCAATACATTTGTAATACCATGACATTACTTTTGGAATTTTCATTGATTTTTCATTGTCATTATTAAGTAGAAATCGATTGTCATTATAGCTGTGAAAATGTCAAATTCATGGCCTTGAAAATTCAACAAGACACATGTTATTTTCATTGACCCATGAATATTTTAAATATTCATGGGTTTCTCATTGTCACATTTATTCATGGCAATGATAAAAGTGTGTTTTCATAGGCCATGGGGAAAGTCATTACCATGATTTTCCCATTACAGAGATTCGTTGCAATGATTTATTTCCATTAGTCCCTAAGTTCATGACTATGAATGTTTTTCATTTTTCATATGTATCTCATGGATTTTCCACACAAACAAAGGTCAGATCATAATTATGAATATGTCAAAATTTCATGCATTTTTCATGGGATTGCTCTTCATAGGAATTTCATAGCCTTAACCTCCAGTAGTGTATAGACCTGTATATTTATGTAATACTTCACACAAAATCAAGGATCTAGTCACCGAGTTTCAGATTTCCCTTTGTGCTATATTTAGACAGCCTAATATCATAATTTGTCAAGAGGTATTTCCCCCATTCCACTTGTCCAAACTAACCTATGGAAATAGATTTTGATGCTGATAACAGTTTCAAAGTCATTAAGGAGAGTTCTAAAACAATACAATAGAGTAAGAAATTCTCAGTTTATGTAGAGTATCAACCTTTTAGGTCAGGAAGTGGAGTCTTTTAGCTGAGTTGATGATTAAAAGATGTTTAATTCAGGTGTGTAACAGGAAAATGAGCCATTCCTCATGCTTACAAGGGCATACAATTTAAATGATAGTATTATCTTTAAGGTTGGACTATTCTCAAACAAAACTTTTCCTTGTGATAACTTACCGGTTTGAACTCTTTCGGCCAAGAGGGAAGCTGAGTCTTTGGATACAAGAACTTGAACCAAGCAATGGCCTCATCTCGTTGTTTGCCACCCTCTTCTGCCTGAACCTTGAGTAGGTCTTTCGGAGTGTTTGTGGGGAACAGACACCACCTGGGAAACAGAATTTTTTTAAAAATACTTCCAGGACTTTCTGAGAAATACTGATCATCTTCAAGAAGCTCTTGTCGAGAAACAGAACAACTAGGAACTTCAGGAAACTGTTGTTATGTATGAATGAAATTTAGGAAAGATTGGAAACAAATTTTTACTGTTGATGTCTAAAATTTCAGTTATCAATTCTCAAAGTTAACTTGTATGGAGCAGTTCTTGACAAATTGCAATGATATATCCCTAACAGGATCATAGGTAGAGGGGTATTAAATTGAACATCTGTTCTTCTTTGCCAAGTTCTTGGGACAGTAAATTGCAATATTTTTTTCAGTCTGTATCTGGAGGCTTTTCCAGTTTCATGTTTCCATACCGCTTGTGTCCATCTATAAGGGCGTTCCAGGCACTTGTTCCCAACGGGTCAATATGAATCCCTGTTCCAGATCGTCCCGGTCCCATCACAAACCATCTATATGAAGAAAAACATGCATTAGTCACCATACTCCTATCTTCCTGATACTTATAATCACCACTAATGCCTTTTATTAATCATCTACACTGCCAACTGGAAACAGTTACCATTATCACCTTTTATCAATCATCTACACTACCAACTGGAAACAGTTACCATTATCACCTTTTATCAATCATCTACACTACCAACTGGAAACAGTTACCATTATCACCTTTTATCAATCATCTACACTGCCAACTGGAAACAGTTACCATTATCACCTTTTATCAATCATCTACACTGCCAACTGGAAACAGTTACCATTATCACCTTTTATCAATCATCTACACTACCAACTGGAAACAGTTACCATTATCACCTTTTATCAATCATCTACACTACCAACTGGAAACAGTTACCATTATCACCTTTTATCAATCATCTACACTGACAACTGAGGTCAGAATTCTGTCCTTTTTTAGACACCTTTAAAATGAGATCTTAACTTTTAATATACCTGTAAGGTGGACGTCGTTCCTCACCAGCATACTGGAATAGGTCATCACGGAAATACCTGGGCACTGAGTAGTCTTCTAGCAACCTGCGTCTCTTGGTGTGCTGTTGATTGACAATTTAACAGAGATTAAAAAAAATTATCTGGTTTTTTTTTCATTAACTCCCCTTTCTATAACTACTGTCAAAGAAACACAGTGGGCTGTCATCATCAACTCAACTCTCCATAGCTACTGTCAAAAATATACAGTAGATTGTTATCAACTCACCTCTCCATAGCTACTGTCAAAAATATACAGTAGATTGTTATCAACTCATCTCTGCATAGTTACTGTCAAAAATATAAAGCAGGCAGTTATCAACTCACCTCTCCATAGTTACTGTCAAAAATATACAGTAGATTGTTATCAACTCACCTCTCCATAGCTACTGTCAAAAATATAAAGCAGGCAGTTATCAACTCACATCTCCATAGCTACTGTCAAAAATATACAGTAGATTGTTATCAACTCACCTCTCCATAGCTACTGTCAAAAATATACAGTAGATTGTTATCAACTCACCTCTCCATAGCTACTGTCAAAAATATACAGTAGATTGTTATCAACTCACCTCTCCATAGCTACTGTCAAAAATATACAGTAGATTGTTATCAACTCACCTCTCCATAGCTACTGTCAAAAATATACAGTAGATTGTTATCAACTCAACTCTCCATAGCTACTGTCAAAAATATACAGTAGATTGTTATCAACTCACCTCTCCATAGCTACTGTCAAAAATATACAGTAGATTGTTATCAACTCACCTCTCCATAGCTACTGTCAAAAATATAAAGCAGGCAGTTATCAACTCACCTCTCCATAGTTACTGTCAAAAATATAAAGCAGACAGTTATCAACTCACCTCTCCATAGCTGCTGTCAAAAATATACAGTAGATTGTTATCAACTCACCTCTCCATAGCTACTGTCAAAAATATACAGTAGATTGTTATCAACTCACCTCTCCATAGCTACTGTCAAAAATATACAGTAGATTGTTATCAACTCAACTCTCCATAGCTACTGTCAAAAATATACAGTAGATTGTTATCAACTCACCTCTCCATAGCTACTGTCAAAAATATACAGTAGATTGTTATCAACTCACCTCTCCATAGCTACTGTCAAAAATATAAAGCAGGCAGTTATCAACTCACCTCTCCATAGTTACTGTCAAAAATATACAGTAGATTGTTATCAACTCAACTCTCCATAGCTACTGTCAAAAATATAAAGCAGACAGTTATCAACTCACCTCTCCATAGCTGCTGTCAAAAATATACAGTAGATTGTTATCAACTCACCTCTCCATAGCTACTGTCAAAAATATACAGTAGATTGTTATCAACTCACTTCTCCATAGCTACTGTCAAAATTATAAAGCAGACAGTTATCAACTCACCTCTCCATAGCTACTGTCAAAAATATACAGTAGATTGTTATCAACTCACCTCTCCATAGCTACTGTCAAAAATATACAGTAGATTGTTATCAACTCGCCTCTCCATAGCTGTCAAAAATATACAGTAGATAGTTATCAACTCACCTCTCCATAGCTACTGTCAAAAATATAAAGCAGACAGTTATCAACTCACCTCTCCATAGCTACTGTCAAAAATATACAGTGGACTGTCATCGTCATTGTTGTTCATGTAGTCAACAAAATATTTCATCTTCATCTTCACCGAGTATCCTTCATCATCTTCACCACACTTGAACTTCTGGTTTCGATATTTTTTAGCAAGCCTCTATAATAACAAGGGTCATAATAACATGAAGATATTTCCCTTAGTATAGACTTATTTTACTAAACATAAGTAGGATCATTTCAACATTAATCACTTATCTGCTAGAGTAGACCATTTACATGTGTACCTTTCCGGCCACCTCACAAAGCTTTACACTGACTCCGATAAATTAGTTCATTGTACACAGATCCATTAGTACTACAAAGTCAGATAAATTAGAACTAGATAAATTAGTACTATACAGTAAATCTCTAACCCTGACTAACAAGAGAGTCAGATAAATTAATACTATACAGTAAATCTTTAACCCTGACTAACAAGGAAGTCAGATAAATTAGTACTATACAGTAAATCTCTAACCCTGACTAACAAGCCAGTCAGATAAATTAGTACTATACAGTAAATCTCTAACCCTGACTAACAAGACAGTCAGATAAATTAGTACTATACAGTAAATCTCTAACCCTGACTAACAAGCCAGTCAGATAAATTAGTACTATACAGTAAATCTCTAACTCTGACTAACAAGCCAGTCAGATAAATTAGTACTATACAGTAAATCTCTAACCCTGACTAACAAGACAGTCAGATAAATTAGTACTATACAGTAAATCTCTAACCCTGACTAACAAGACAGTCAGATAAATTAGTACTATACAGTAAATCTCTAACCCTGACTAACAAGACAGTCAGATAAATTAGTACTATACAGTAAATCTCTAACTCTGACTAACCAGTTGACTAAGTAAACTAAGGGAGACAATCCACTTCAGCAGATCTGTTCACAACAGTGTTGTCTTTAACTTGTTTTTATAATGGTTTTGAGAAATGATAGATGTTAAAATGAGAAAGAGAAAATCAGAATAATAATTTTGAATTCCTCTTATTCGTCTGCTTTTAGATACATAATTCAAAAACTGTGACGTTAATCAAGGAATTTGAAAATCTGGCATCTTCTTTGGTTTTAATGAGTAAACATAACGCTCTCAATCAGGATTTGCCTGATTAACACTACCTGTTTCGTCCATTTCCTAGTCGCCTGCCAGTCTTTGGTTGCATTAACAAGTACGACAGGTTTATATGGAGATTCATACTCTCGTATAAACTCCTCTTTGGTAGTCTTAGTAACATCAAGTCGTGGCACATTATCCTTCACAGCCTGTAAACTTAGGTCAAAAGTTTGCGCAAAATTGTAACGACACCAACCATTCTTGTCCGAGCCCAGCTCTGGAAAAAAAAAACAGAAAAAAAGTTTTAACAGAAAAATTACAAAATAAAACAAATGTACACAGGAACTGATATCAAAGTGATCGAGTGTATAAAGTAAACATATAATGACATTGTAAATACTGCAGTTACAAAAAATCACTTGTATTACCACACATAACTAATATCACTGATTCGAAGTTTAAAGCTACAATTAGGATCAGAATGACTTTTCATTTCAAATAAGATTTTATTAAAAACAAGTCTTTGTGGGTTTTTTTTGCCGGCCATGGCTCAAAAAAAAGTTAATCTGAAGATGACTTTTTATTTCCAAAGTTTCATATGAAATGAAAACATGTTTGAGATACTTTTTATCACATAATTCAGAAAAAATACATATGGACAAAATTCAAAATTCAAATTCAGGTATTACACTGTTGTCATATACACAAATATATTACATATATATATATAAAAGTGTGAAGGCTGTGGTAAAGAATAGAGAATAAAACTGAACAGGCATATCCTTCATTTGTGCTGGGACAAGAAACTAGGCCCACTGGAGACTTCTCTGGCATTAGTGTTTTCACTGAGCTATGTATTCTACTTAAAAACATTATTCATACCCACATGTATGCCCCAATCACTTCAATCTTGACCAGCCTGACCACAGCCATTTCAGCCATAGAAAAGTGAATCTCGTTTTTATAACAAAAGTAATACAAATAAATTAAAGTGATGTATCACAAAATTGACATTTTAAGTCATTGGAAAATTACATAACTTTCAAATGCTATTTATTTCAAGACAATTTTCTTCTTTTTTGGGCTGAATGTGGTATAAAATATAGGTATTTCAGTTGTAAATAGCTTATATATACATTTTGCTTTTTCAAATATCAATGGTTAACAGATTTTTTTGCCTCAAAAAATAGCACAATCAATTTGAAAATTATCAAGCTTTCTACCTCCTGTTTTCACACTATTTCAGAAAACTGTTTTATAAACACAGCAAGGCTAGATCACTTGACTTGGAAATTGGCAGTTTCTTATCCTTCTGTATAATACATCCTAAATTGTGAGATAATTGATGGATTTCATTTATCACATATGTGACCATTGACAAGATTTTTGATGACGAAAGTGATTGATGGATTTTAAAGTAATTTACTGATAGCGTCCCAGATATATTTTGCCACTATATGCTGTATGTTAGTAAATAAGAAACTGCCACAGAGCAAAATAAGAATTCATTGAATCGAAAAGCCAATTTGAGAAAATGATCATCAATAACCCTACAGCTATTCATTTAGGTCAATATTATCGTGCATTTGTAAACACATTGTTTTGTATGCTTTAACCAGCGGACGTTTAGAAAACACTCTCCTCTCGAGATCGACGAGAATCTACCTATATACCATAAAGTCTCCGAAAATGTGCTAACATGATGAGAGAGGTTGGGTACTTGGATTTCAACATCAGTGGACATGGCAAGGCTCTTCCATAACTGAAGTATCCTACCTGTTTTGCCATGTACAAAGTCACTTTTGACAAAGTGAAACCAATTTTACGTGCATTGTGGATGTCAGGATATGGCTGCTGTTTTGAAGTTTTGTTTACCTGGTCTTGCTCTTGACTTTGCTTCTCGAACCCTCTTCCTAGTTCTGTGGTCCATACGACTGATAAGGGAGGTTGTGGCGTCTGTCGGATCAAACCCGTTAAAGCAGACAACAACGGGACACAGCCTACCTGTTCTGGTAACGGGTCGTCTTGTTTTTCCTCGTGTGCAACCTCAGAATTCGGCAAAATATTACGGAATGAGCATTTCGACCTATATACGAAACGCAATCAATATGTTGTTAAACAATGTTTATGTATCTGTCGGTAAGTAATGATGTTTTTATTGTTATATTAAAATGAAAAAATCATTCTCATTACCACAGCTGTACATAATTATCCTATCATTTATGAATAAACTGTGAAGTAGATTCAAAGCAAGGGAGGTCATTCTGGCATCCTTATAATATTCTACTAGGGTGGTAGATCGCCATTTGACATGGCGTATTCCGCTGAAACCCGACAACAGGCCGTAATAGTGAACGTTAATCCCGTTTGTACGTTGTTTTTGCAAGGAGACGAAGCCATATTCAACGGTATTAAGAATGATGATAATTCAATTAAAGAATACGGTCAGTGAAGGTAATTTGGCTCCAATTGCTGTTAAACCATTCGGTCCAAGGTACAAGACCCTCTATTTAATGTCGTGTTTTAAAACAATATAAGCACTGTAGAGTTTTTCTTACGACGGTATAGAGTCTTTTTTTTCTCCACGAAACAGATATAATGTTGCCTACAGGTACGACGAGTTTTACCGTACATAGTTAATGAAGAAACAGGCATACTTCCGGATTAAAGCCAGGTTATCACCTAATCTCGAAATATGTTATATGTGATTCCATCGAATTCAGACTAATATAGAAACCACGAATCGGAAATAATCGTCTGTGTGTTTAGGGAAATGACATATAGCATGCTTGATGATTTTTTTAGAGTATGATTGTAGAAAGCATTTTTTTTTTAAATATCAACATGTTTCCGCATGCTACTTTCTCTGGTACAGGCGTCAGAATATGTGTAACAGGAAAGATATCATTTTCAACAAACATAACTCTTAATTTTTTCTATAAATACAAGACATTCTCTAATATTTCATGGCATTTTTCTCCCAAATTAATTTTACTTTTTTTCCTTTCATTACAATCACGCCGTCAACTAAATGTTATCCATGTGTTTTATTTCTTTTCAAAATGTCATATCAGGGACGTATAATATCCGTATTATACGTCGTATTATACGTCCCTGGTCACATTAATCTCACGATTGCAATTTATAAATACAACTTCAGATAACACAAATTAAAATATTATGATGCAACATAATTATATTGAATTACGTCTTACTTCCGGTCAAACGTCAAAATAATACACATCCCTTAAAAATACGGATTTCGACTTTGAAGTGTTGGTGGAGTTACCTTTCCTTCATTTACCTGGTCTTCACAAATTCAGATTTTATCTAAGACGTTCTATTGTTGTCATTGTTTTTTTTTTTTTTTTTCGATATCCGCCCCATTTCGCTGCGAAACGAGTGTTTATCACTGGTATCTGAAGGGCGTTAATCATTAATGACCGTGTGGATGATTTGATGAATAATTACCAATATTGTTTTAAGTTCTTTTGGTTAAAGAGTATTCGTCAAACATGAAAGACACGACAAACACTACATCAACTTGGAACCCAAACCGTGTACAAGGTCATAACAAAGGAAAAGAGCATGCTTACTGCAGAAACACTTCTAAAATATAGAAAAACACTCTCTACGCAGAAACTGGTACTAAATGTAAGGGGCGCGTCAGCTGATCAACAACTACTGAAGATCGTATATTATTAAAGTACTGGTAAATTTGGCTCAGCATTACAAGCAGAAATAGATATACGCTGTTGATCGTTGTCGATTTAGGTAGGATTGTATACCCTACCATATCATATAGAGTAACTCCTTAGATTTATGTTTGAGATGATAACACAAATAATGACTGGGCGCTCCATCTCTTCAATCACACATCCTCGGATTCAATATTAAGGGAAAATCTTCCTTGTAATAAGAAGAACACAAATCGGTTACATTCGTACTGCGTAAATATACGGTAAATTATACTTTTGTAGGTTCCGCCCAGTTTCAGTCCATGCCCTTGACTTATGGCAAATGACAATAACAATATATATCTATGTTAACACATTTTGTGGTAACTAACTTTGACCCTTCTAACTGCTGACTTGTTTTTGTTTTCATACGAGGTTGACTTTATCAAAGAAGTTATCAAAACAAATAAAAAAGACATTGCTAAGTCGTTTAATTTCACTTTCACATATATTGATGACGTCTTGTCTTTAAATAACAAGAAATGCATTGACCACGCCCATCGTATATACATATACCTACTTGAGTTGGAAATCAAGTACACTACAATTTATTCTATATCAACCGCTTATTTCAATGTTGTTCTATAACGAAACCAACATGGACAGCTTTCAACCAAGTTGTATGATAAACGTAATGGTTGTAATTTCAGCACTGTTAATTTTCCATTTTTGGATAGCAAACTTCCTGTATCCTTAATCTATGGTGTTTACATGTAGCAATTGATTCGATATTCGAGGGCGCATTCCTATTGTCACGAATTTTGTGCAAAAAGTCGTCAGCTGAAGGACAACCTCGTAACACAGCCAGGGTTTCAAATGATGCAGGTTGATGAAAAATACGGGGAAGTTTTACGGTGATTTCATTGAGAAAATTATACTTTTTGGCGATATGAAGTTAGGCGTGTTTGATGCTCGTTAGTTTACTTGTTGGTTCCGTTACATTGTTCTCATTTGTGAACGTGACATTACTTACAGACGTTCTTGGATTAACCGAGGTTTACATGCCGTTGTCATCTATGAAGCATAAGACACTTACTCTTCTGGAACACCTGGTGTCACTCTCCTTGTACTTTTCAGGGATGAATCATTCTTTTGTTCACATTTTGTCCTGGCGGTTTTTAATAGTTTGATTTACGATTATGTTAAGTTGTTGGTAACTCTTGCTAATATTGTCCATTCGTAAATGGACTATCGTCAATAAATAAAATACACATATTTGTTTTTACTTACAACACAATAAAATCTTGAAGTACCATGTCCAGGGAAAGTGAATATGTGTCAGACATCCCTGAAGTGATTTAATCATCACTTGACTTTGGGACCGTCAACACTTGTATGTCATTGTCGGATAACCATCCCATTTTAGTTTAAGTATATTTCATTTTATTTCTGTGTGAACCATGAAGTATAGGTATGACAAAAAGGATTCAGAAAAATGTATTAAATACTTATATACATCTGTCTCCTTTAGAAAACGGCAAACGGGTGATAACACAATCATATATAATGATAAGGTTTCGTTAGGAGAGAGAGCGAGAGAGAGGGGGGGGGGGAGGGGGAGGGAGGGATGGGAGAGAGGGGGAAGGGAGGGAGAAAGAGAGAGAGAAAGGTGCACGATGCTAAGTGATACTACAGTTGTTGTATTTACATAGCTTCATATAATTGAATAACTGACTACCATGCAAGAAGTGGTACACAAATTTGTATACAATGAAATTAGAAGTACATGTAACCGGTGGAGTAATTGTAAACACAATACGGGCGAAGACAAATCAAGGTAATCTGTGACTCACTGGGGCCATATGACTGTACTGTTAGTATGAGAAGCGTTTAGTTTTATTAATAAAATGTTGGACACATCTGAAGATACTTTCATTCTCACCAATGGATAAATTTGGATCACCGAGAAGAAGTGAGTCCAGAGTGTAGTTATCATAAAAGTGTACAAAGCGTTCATTTTTTATTGTCGTATAGTTAGGACAAGATACAAGGAAATGTTCAGTAGTTTCGTGTGCCTGCCAACAAGACTACAGAGGTGGGCATTTAGTGAGCTGGAGGTCATCCTAAGTATAAACGTGGTGGACCAGATCGAGGCGTTTACCAAAATAGTAACGAAGTACTGAGGGAGTGTCTGTGTATGTAGTTATTCACGTAACGTAGAGACAGGTTGTTCTTAATATATGGGGGTAGTGAGTTCCACAAGGCAAACACTTCATAAGAACTTCCATCAGAAAAATTTTTTTTAGAGGAGTTAGTGTTGCAAAAGACATTACTTAGATTTTCGTTATAGTACATGTGTTATACAGGTGCGAGTCTCTTCAGTGTTGTGGAAGAAGTTGTTAAAGGTATGGACGAGAAAAACCAATCAAGATTTTATGAATCTGAATTATTTTCTTTACTGCTAGATAGTAAGGTTATTCCAGACGATAATGTCATATTCAAGTAGAGGTCCGACGAATGAAACGAACGAGGTCTGAAATGATGTCCTGTTTGTTTTAAATAGAAATTTCAGTAAAATACCTAATTTCTTAGTCTTTTTCAACAGTACATTTAATGTGCTCTGTTTTTTTTCTGAGAAAAACAGTCCTATATGTTTGTGATGTTTACCCTCGTTCACAGGAAGGTCATTCATAAACAAAGCTGGGTGATGGAGCTGATTAATTTTCTTGCTAATAAAAAGAGATTCAGTTTTTTTTCAGGGTTAAATTTCACCAACCATTTAACAGACCAGTCATACATTTTCCGCAGACTATCATTCAGTAGATCAGCACATTGAGGCGGAGTATCATTCAGTAGATCAGCACATTGAGGCGGAGTATCATTCAGTAGATCAGCACATTGAGGCGGAGTATCATTCAGTAGATCAGCACATTGAGGCGGAGTATCATTCAGTAGATCAGCACATTGAGGCGGAGTATCATTCAGTAGATCAGCACATTGAGGCGGAGTATCATTCAGTAGATCAGCACATTGAGGCGGAGTATCATTCAGTAGATCAGCACATTGAGGCGGAGTATCATTCAGTAGATCAGCACATTGAGGCGGAGTATCATTCAATAGATCAGCACATTGAGGCGGAGTATCTTAAATGACATACAGGAAAGTATCATCACAAAATCATTTTACTATAAATTTTGTATCGTCTATTATATCATTTATTAAAATCAAAAAGAGCAGAGGACCTAATATTGACCCCTGAGGAACACTATCTCTAATTATCGTCCAATCAGAGGTCATCCCTTTTTACAAGAAGTGTTTAGAGTTTTCATTTGAAAGGTGTATGACTACTCT